TGTACAGTTCAGAACCATGTAAACTTATATTCTAGTACATATTTGTACACTTGTTTAATTTATGCAGTTTGTTAAGCGATAGTCTTTTATCTTACTAACTAATAGTTAGTAAGATAGTTTGCCCCAAAAATGGCCCAAGTGCAACAATCGAGCAATAACATTGTGTGACATTGAATTTAAATGAGCATAAATTTTACATTGTACTGTCTAGAGCCATGAAACTTTTACTTCTAAAAACAACCTTTTGTGCTTATTTCAGTCATGCACTCTGGTGGTAAGGGACACAATGTTTAATTATTAAGATATTGGGCCCCAAAAGTGGCTCTTGTGCGAGAATGGTGAAAAGCACTGTTATTTCACAATTCTGGGGTCGGTACAATCTTACTAATTAAAGACTGTGTTCCTTACCAGACTACAGTACGTGACTGAAATAAGCACAAAAGGTTTTCTAGAATTAAAGGTTTTATGGCTATAGGCAGTAGTACACTGATAATATTGTGCTCATATTGAAAATATATGTTACTATGCAATTCTTGCACTTGAGCCATTTTTTGGTGCAAAATATCATACTAACTAACCACTCTGTCCCTTAACAGATGTCATGAATTAAATAAGCATACAAATATGTACTAGAATATAGGTTTCATGGTTCTAAACAGTACACTGTTAATGTTATGCTCATTTGAAATATATCAATATATAGTCGCACAATGTTATTGCGCAATTTTAGCACTTGGGCCATTTTTGAGGCAAAATATCTTACTAATTAAACAATGCATCCCTTTAACAGACTGCATAACTGCAATCAGCACAAAAAGTTGTCCTAGAATGAAAGGTTTCATGGCTCTAGACAGTGCATGGATAATATCATGCTCATTTGAAATCAATAATATAGTAAACACAATTTTATTGCACAATCTTGCACTTGGACCATTTTTGGGGCAAAATATCTTACTAATTAAACAATTTATCCCTTTAACAAACTGCATAACTGCAATTAGCACAAAAAGTTGTCTTAGAATGAAAGTTTTCATGACTCTAGACTGTTCACAGATAATATTATGCTCATTTGAAATCAATCGTACAGTAACACAATTTTATTGCACAATTCTTGCACTTGGGCCATTTTTGGGGCATAATATCTTACTAATTAAGCAATTTATCCCTTAACGAACTGCATGCCTGAAATAAGCACATAAAGTTGTTTTAGAATTATAAGTTTCAAGGGTCTAGGCAGATTATTTTTAATATTATTGTTATTCAAAAATTAATTTTATCACATTTACGCACTGATACTCTCACAAATTGAAAAATATACCCCTTTTCAAATCACTTTTTAAACATGAAGGGATAAAGGCACCAAGCTGATATTGGAACATCTGATCCTCATATATAAATTTATTAATGGTGCAAGTTCTAACAACAAGCGTACTTGCCCACAGGGTCAAAGGTCACCATGAAACGAGGCATTTTTGTGCATTTTTTGTCCCGAATGACCTTTGGACCTACGATTACCCCCTAAAATGATAAGTTAAAAATCCAGAATTTTTTGTGGTGAAACATTTCCAACTATATATTAATAATTTGCTGCATAAGACCCATTTAATAACTGATTTGGGTATTTTAATGGGGTCTAAAAATGGAAGAAAAATTACACAACCAAATAAGTTACATCT